ATTTTCTGATAACCAATCCATGCCTATAACGACATCAAATTCACTAATAAGCATTGGTAGAAGCTTAATAGTGAAATAATGTCTGTCTATTTCTAAGGAGCAATTTTCATAGACTTCATCTATACTCGTGATTCTTCTATTTGCAATTTCTATTTTATCTTTTGGTCTAACTTCTTAGATGTGCAATTTAAATTTTTGTAAAATTTTGTAGACACCATTGACTTGTTAGCTCCATAATCAAATAATATTTTGGCAAGCTTTTTATCAATTAGGAAGGTACTTGTCACCATGTCCGGTATTTCTTTCGTTTCCTCAACAGTGAGTTGGAATATCCTTCCTCTGACTTTTCCAGCTTCTGGTTTGTTTCCACTAGTGGTTGTTATAGCTTTTTGCACATTCTTGGGCTTTGGGCAATTGTACACAAGATGTCCAGTTGAACACAATTGTAGCATTCCTTTCAGAACAATTGCTAGCCATATGACGAGGTTGGCCACATTTATAGTTCACCTTGTTGCTCATCATACACTCTCCACTATGGTTCTTATTGCACTTAGGACAAATTGGTTTATCAGCTATCCTTGTACTATTATTCCTTGCTTTCTTGAATGTTCTGCCAAAGTTTTTGTCTTCAAACTTTCTTTTTTCGTTTGGTTGGCGGCCATTGGGCATATAACTATCTTTTTCAGCTAAAATTGCCAAATCAATAGCTTCTTGGGAAGTCTTTGGTTGAGACATATTGACCAATTGTCGTAAGCCCTTGCTTAAACCATGTATGAAACGATCTACCTTTCGACCTTCTGTTATTATCATGTCAGTTGCAAATCGAGACTTTTCTATTCCACAGATTTATTTCCTTATTCAAGTTTTATAAATTCTTCCTCCGTTTTCACTCGGGTATTTGGGCAATACCTTCGATTAACTAGATGTTTGAATTCATCCCATGACATCGTTGTTGCTCCTGTGATACCTCGGGTAGCCTGAACGGTTTTCCACCAATGGAGTACATTCAATTTTAACTTGGCGGAAGCAAACCTTACTCGTTGATTGGGGGCACATTGACATGTTTCAAAACAATTTTCCATGTCATCAAGCCAATTTATCGCAGCTATAGGTCCTCCTTTCCCTTCAAATGTAGAAGGACTAGCAGTTTTGAATGCTTTGTAGTCGCATCCTCGAGTTTGACCATTATCAGGTTCATGTCGTATTTGATTTTCTCTGGTTGTTGCTCCATGTACTGAGCTTTGGTTCATAACTGCCTGAACTAGAGCTAATATAGTTGGTAGACTCTCCTGGATGCTTTGAGAGATTTCTGTTGCTATATCAACTCTTTCAGTAGGATTGACTGAATTTGTTGGCCTATCCCCTTGTGGGTTTGCTCCATGTCTACTTCCTTGTCTTGTGGTCTAGTATTCTTTGAATTGTTTCTATTTGTCCTTCGCGTATTCATTCTACAAAATAATAACGTAAGAATATAAAGATAAGTTTCGATTTCATATAGGTCATATATCGTACAAAATTGGAACATTTGGTACAAAACTTAAGGAAATGATAAACTTTTCCTTCTTTTTTTGCTCCTATATATTTATATTCGCATATATATATATATATATATATTTTCTATCTGAAAATTATAAAGGTCATGATGGGTTCTTAAGAAGTCTCTAAATTGTCATGCCGGTTGGAGATTGAGGGTATCTTTCGCTGGGTGATGACATTTCTTAATCCATAGCTTAGTCCTCTTTGTCATGTGTGTTGCTTTATAAAAAGCGGATCCTATCCTTGATCCTTGTTATGATGGATCTTTTAGCAATCTTTATCTCTTGTTCATAGATTATGCATCTGAGTTCGAGTTCCCAATTTTTATTATCTCATTCGATTGCTTGTTCCCGAATCCGTTCGTATTCTTCAATACCTATTGTACCATAATCCAATTTTCAATTTCTTCGTCGACTCGTACGTCCTTCTCTTGATATACATAACTAATTTGATCTTCTAAGATAGTCTCATCATCGGATATGCAGTTATCCATATCATAGGCTGCCATAATAATAAAAACATATATCTTTTATGTATATTCTTGGGATGATGATTTTACAAAATTAAAGAAAATAAGAAATGAATTTTTTTCCTTTTTCACATCCCTGTTTATCGATACTAATTAGTTGCTTCGCTCTTATATTATCTATTATTATTTTCTTATAGTGGATTTTCAATCCCTTCTATGTTTCCTTTGGGCAGGGAACCTATAGTCTCTGGCAAAGGAGTTCCTAATAACATGGTTGGCATAAGCCAATTCTTCTTGTAATCGAACAACTTGGGCCTGGGTTTGATTTAGGGGTTGGAGAGTTCTTTCCGTTTCTTTCCTTGATTCCCTTAATTTATCTTCCACAGTTACAGTGTACAATTTGATCATATGTGCTTCCTCTTGTGCCATTGCGCACTGATGGTTGCTCTCAGTTATTTAATCCAATAAGGCATTGAAGTCTGCTTGGGTAAATCTGGTAGGATCCGGGAAATTTTCTCCTACTACGACCGATGCAGCTTCTAGCATAGCTTCTAAGGGAGGGTGCGCTATGTGAGGTAGAGATGTAACTTCTTACTGCCAATACAAGTCCTCCCATGGGTATGAAAATATAGTGTGGTCATTTGCATCAGAGGCCACGGAGTTATTTAAAGTTGCATTAGGATTATTTGGTGGTTCCATTGGGTTGTACTCGAACTATTTGTTCAGGTACTTGATTCAGAGGGTTTAAGATGAAATATGGGTCTTCATACGGTGATTCAAGTAGCCACCCATTTCCATACTCAAACAAATCTCCTTCGTTCCTCGTAGACATCTGTAATGGGTTACAAACCCTTATAGAATGTATGCTAAAAATGTTCTTCAAGTCTAGGTTTGTCTAATCTAAGGCCAAACTTAGTTCACTTGAACCAAAGGCTCTGATACCAACTTATGACATCCCGTTCCCAGAGGTATCGTCCTTTGCCCTTAGTACAAGTGAATGAAAAAAACTTCATATCTTAAAACTTTTATTTCATTATAATAGAGTTATTACAGCAGCGGAAAAGCGGAAATGCGGAAATTTACAACTTATAATATTCTAATCTTAGAATAGCAACACTTGAGCTTGTTCCTACTCCTTGATTCCTGAGATACATACATGAATACGTAAGCTTTAAGCTTAGTGAGTAGTTATGTTTCATTATATAACATTCTTTCCAAATGGTTAAAATAATCCTTATAAACTTTCATGTATAAAACATTTCTTTGAGATCTCATGGTTACTTGTTAAGTAAACCAACTTCTCACAGGTTCTTTAACCTCAGGTCCACATAAAGGCTGCCAATAACGTCCGTTTGCAAGAGGTACCTTCTTTCTATATCTCGTACGTTGGATATTTTAAATGGTTATACTTTTAACATGTATAAAAAATTTCATATACCACATGTGCATCATGACATAAAAGGTGTTCTTTGCCACATAATCATAACATAACTTTTACAAGAAGATATAGCAATACTCTTTCATGCATAAAACATTTATATATATATATAGCATGTATGTATCCTAGCAAATCTCAGAACGTACTCACCTTATTTATACCCTGTTTTGGGCTTTCTAACTCACTTCTTAGTCTTTACTTATTATTGTTTTTAGGTAGTGTTCCAAATCTTGGCATGAAAAAGAATGAGCCCTTTAAGCTTCTATTTATAGGATGTATGACATGCTTTAAGGAACTATTTAGCTTTTCAACTTGTAAATTTCTAAGGATATGCCACATATGTACTTGTTCATTATTTTCTTCTTTCCTAGCCTTGCCTTCTAATGCTTTTAGGGTTGCCACAAACTTTTTTCCTCTTACAACTCATTCCCTAGGTTTGCTTTGTCATAAGATTTTTGTGGCTCATGTTGTTTGTTTATAAGTAGCTTAGTAAGCTACTTATGTGCTTATTGGTAAGTAGCTTTGTAAGCTACTTGTGTGCTTGCTTACTTATTTATCTCTATAATTAATATTTTTTTCACTAAAAGATGTTGTTTATTTTGTTTTAGTTCTTATATTAAGGACCTTTAGAAACAACTTAACTTTATAAGAAATTATGATAAAGATATGTATATATATACATATATATATATATATATACCTGGCTGAAAATTTGGGCTGCTACAAGAAGCTTAAGCGCATGCCTAAGAAATCTGATATTAATATTGCTGCTCTAACATCTAACTACATTTAGCTTTCCTATAGTTGATGTGCCAATGTAATAATATGATGATCATAATTTGATATAAGATTCTATTATATTCAAATGGAACTAACTCCATGCAAAAAATCGACCTTCAACATAAACAGAAGTGAATTGCAACAAGTAAAAGAAGTAGGTTGTTTAATCCCGATTAACATTGTGTAAATATGTTATCATATTCATACTTGATTGCCAATATTAATCCTTGTTAATATGGTTGAACAACCAAAAACAGATCCAAAAATTATTTCAAGTGAGCTCAACAATATAGTGGCACCGTTAAAGACCATAAAAAAAATTACGCTACACCGGAACAATTTTGTGTTGGTATGGGACTGCTTACTAAATCTCCCCCTGTGAACAACTGTTTAAAAGATTCCTGAAAAACGACGTCGATTAGGCAACGCCAAAAACCTAGATGGCCGCCTAATCCTATCTTTAGCGAAGTGGGAGATATATACGTAATCTTCTCTTGTGAGTAATTAAACCTAGTAATTACTTTACCACAGCAAGTTTTCATGCTTGTGGTATAACATGCATAAAAAAGGACATGCTTATAATGATATCTTGTGAAAGAAGCGGGAAATACTTTAGCCTCTTCATTGTCAGGTTAAAAAAGTATATATCAAGTTACTTCCCAAGAATAAGCATGTTATAGATTTGTTTAGCTGCAACAACATATGTTTAGTTATGTTCCAAACACAAAAGTTAAAGGTTATTTCAGTTCACAAGAAACAAGATGGAAACTTTTTAACCTTAGCTAAAGCAACCAATGCTTTCTCCTCAAGCTTCTCCACAGGTACTGTGTTCCTTGCTGCCTCCTGGCGATGTGGGTCTTCATACTATAAGGAATAACATCAGATGAATGTCTTCGTCTACATCATCTTCATTAGGTACAAGGCCATAGAGAGTGAAAATTACCAGAAGAACCTGATCAACATAAGGTCGAACCCTCTGTTCGAATTGCCTATTGTCTCCTGTAGCAGTAAACTGCTGAAACATAAGTGCTTCTTCTTCTGCCTGTTATCATAAGAAGCAGTGTCAATGCATAATAAATACCAACTTTAGACAACTAATTCCTTCTCTATCAACTGTAGGAGTACGAAATTGTTAAACAAACAGCTAACCTTACACGATGAAAACTCATTTAACAAATATATCTTGATGACAGAAATGCCTAAGTTTCAATAACATCTACAAACCTGTTTTCAGCATATCGGAAATTTAATAATGTGCTGACCACATAGAACGTAATCAACGGTGTTGTTTCCATACCTGCAACATTCGAGCTAGTTCTTCGTCAGACCTCACTATTTCAGAATCCAATTGAGGGTTTCCGTCTTGAATCGAAACCAACCGAAGTTTATCGGATATTGCCATGAGATCAGAGTCATCGGAAACAATTCGATCGTCGGCACCTCCAAATATCTTCAATTATAAATTGAATTAATAAACAATAAACATAAAATCCCATACAGATACAACTCATTGATTAAGGAGATCCCAAATTCCCAGCAGTAATTGAAGAGAAGTAAATCGACCTTTTGCTGATCTGGAGGAACTGCAGAAAGGGAAAACAACTGGAATTTGAAGACTTCAAAACCATCTTCAGTTTCGTAGTCGACATCAAAGTTGGAACCTTGGTAGTGAACAAGGAACTTTTTAGCCACCATAATTTCCACGGGATAATTGGGATTGGGATTAGGATTAGGATTGGGAAGAAGACAACTCGGTGAAGTTGAAAGCAATTTCAGGCGATTCCAAAAAGGCTGATTGGCTTTGCTCCAAAGGTAAGGGGTTCAGCTCAAATCCAATGACCAATAAAAATCCGATTGGCGGCTATGTGCAAAGAGCATGTCATTAGTAGGGTTGCATAATGGGTTTGATATCTAGGTTAATAAAAAATATTCAGCCGATTCCTATTTATATCCTTACAATGGAAGTCACTTGAAGAAGCAACTATCTAAACTTCGTTGGTATTTGTATCAAAATTTTGACTAATCCTATCGATCTAATTGGTTGGCAGTACCATACCAACTGTTTAAACTTGGTTGGTACATGATATTAGAATTTTGACTAATTCTATCAATCTAACTGGCTGGTAATACCGTACCAACTGTCTAAACTTGGTTAATACGTGATATTAGAATTCGTTTATCATGGTCATATCATACCATTCCAACTTATTTTTTAATTACTTATTAATTAAAATTTAATTAATAATACAACATATTTTGATTTTTAAAGTTTTAATTATCTTATTTTCAGTTTTGCTAAATTATAAATATCGATTTATATATACAAAACTTGATTAAGCTCATTCGCCTAACCTCACCAACTTTAATAACTTGTTCACACCTCCACAACCCATTATCACCTCTAGTCGTTTGTGTTAGACTACTTGTGAATGCTTGTATTATATAAAGATTATTTGAATTCATGTATAAGTAGGAATAAGTTATACAACACATATAAACATGTCCTCCAAATGTTCGATAGTTTTAGTGTATCTAAATCCCGTTACTAAAGATGTCAATATACATAAATTAATAACTTCAACTTTTGTGATGTTGGTACAAAACCAAACAAGCCGAAGGAAGTTGATATTCACAATGACTCACGGCCTCCTCCCTCCCAAAACCTTCCTCTTCCGACCACCCTTACCTCCGCTCATCTTATCCGGTCTGAATCCATCCCGCCCCCATTTTACAATCGCATCCCCTTCTCCGGAAAAGACCGGTTGTAACCCGTTTTTTGTTCATGACAACGAAATTTGACTACAATATTATTGAACTTTGTTACATAATATGAATGTGATGCAAATGAAATTAGATATGATATAACATAAAACAATATATAACACATAAAAGTTGTGATTGTAAGCAATTGGCACATAAAGAATAAATTTCACATATCTCACAACCAACAAACGAAAAAAAGGCCAAGCAAACACATGTCGGTTGGTCGGATCATAACCTCCGATGAACGAAATACAAACTAGGTTACAACAGAATGACAAGAAATGGTTGTTCTTGAAGCTATACTTTTAAATCTACAATAGAACAAGCTCAAATCTTTCAAAAATTATATACAACTCGGCTGGCTGGCTTAACGATAAGTTACTTGTTTGACCATTGAAATTCTATTTCGAGATTTCTTGACGCACCGCTTTTGCTTTCTGGCAGCAAAGTGTATTCACCAGCCACCGCCCCCAGCATCACAACTCGGTCAATCTGTATCGTTACTTTGCCAAATGAACTCTGCCAAAACAAAATCAGTTACGCGTATAACCGAGCACATAGTTTTGTGAAAATGCATCAGGCTAATAATGATATATGAACAATTAGGTCATTTAGCTTCGAAATTTTCCATAAAATTGAAAAGTTGCAATTTTTATGGGAGTTTTTGTAAATTTCATAGGACAGAGAACAAATCTATGGAAACAGCTGCTTTATCCTTTAAGGTAGAGGAGATGTCTATGTATATCCTACCCGCTAGTCTATGATCTCGAGCGGGATATATTGGTTTGGTTTAGCAGAGAGAACACATATTAACGTTCTTTTTGCTTTCTGTATGTCCTTGTGGAACCTCGTTTACTGTTTTCTAGTCTGTTTCTTTTTTCAAAAGCTTTTCGTGGTTTATTTTTTTGTCCCGAGTTCCTCCTTACTTTTCCGAACTTTCCTTCCAGATATTTTACACACTTTATGTAGCACTAGGTTTTTTTACCAAAATCTTTTTCAGAACACTTTAGAAAGCCAAGGTCTTCACATAAACAACTGCTCTACTTTTTGGAGTAGATAACAGGTATGTGTACATTTCTCCTCACAGACCCTACCAAGTGTATTTGGTTTGGTTTAGAAAGGCCAACGGAAATTAGAACAATCAGTATCTATATTGGATTTAGAAACTAGGTTATGCTGAAAGACTTACCTTCCCCATCTTGCTTTTATTTTTGCATGAAATATGTAGCTTCTGGCCTTTTGGAGGGCTTTCGAAGGACCAAACAAAGTTCTCATCCCACTCGGGATTAGGGCCTGTTGAGACAACCTGAGAAACAAATTGAACGAGAAAATAGAGCTTGTTAAGATTAACATGTGGATGCAAATTACATAATATGAAGTAAATAAGTTGTGTCTTTATGGTCGATGCAAGTAGAGACAACAGGAATTCATGAACAAAATGTGAAGAATAAGCACAGTAAACAGTGGAATATGAGATGAGCAGTTGACATAAGTAAAGCACCTAGTAAATTATATCCATGAATTTAAAGAAATTCAAGATCACATATTGTTCATGCATATATGTGAACAGGTATGTGATATATATATATATATATATATATATACACACACATACATAGGTGTCTGAATTTAATATACAACAGAAGTAGAAAACATGATCATACTCATCATCAAGCCCAATGTTGTAATTTAACATAGATTTCTCCATTGCCTTGTTTCCTAAATCATCCTAGATGAAAGAAGTTTGCTTTACTTTTAATTTAGTTTTACCCCTATATTCTAAATATGTAGTTACAAAAGTTACTTTTCCTTTTTAGAAATCCATGAGTTTCCGGCTCCCCCTTTTGTGCAAAAAGACCAAATTGTTCCTCTCATATTGTCTTCAACTATGGCCACGTTTAGCAACCATGAGCTAGCTTCTTTTTTGAGTTTATTTAAAAGGTTCCATTTAATTAGCCATAATCTAGCTTTTTGAGAACTACCTCAAGTAGCGGTTATTCGTTTAATAAGCTCCAAAAGCTTTTTTCCAATTTTACCACTTATATTTTTCCAATTAATTTCCAACATATCCTTTTAGGTCATTTTACATTACCATCTAGTTTATCAACTAGTTTTTACCAAACATACATGACTAGTTTATCAGCCAGCCGCTAGCTTATCAGCTTGTTTGCCAAACACGGCCTAACTCCTCAAGTTAGGAGCAAAGGAGAACTACTTAACCTAAGTGCAGAAATGAGGGCATAACTAATATAAAAGCAGGAACCATGTTTCAATAGGGAGCATACCTTGGTTTGTCTTGAAGGAGTGTTGCCGAGTGTAAGCTTACAGTAGACACTTGCATTTCCCACAGACTGTTTCATATTGTTGCCGCGTTTAATTATCACTGTTAATGTCCCGGGTAAACACTGCAACAAAAATTCAGCCTTCTCCTGAAATCGAGGTGGACCTGATTGTATCAAGTACTGCAACAAGGGTATCGCATCTGCAGCAGCATTTGATTGGGATCTAGAGACTTCAGCTGGGCATGCCGACCAAGCTTGCCTCAGAAGAAATAGTGCATCTAATGCAGCTTCTTGAGTTGCTTCTGAGCCAGTCTTGAGAGATGTCACCAAGTGTGGAATGCTTAAGGTTGCAGGTTCGGAGGCTCTTAATCGTGGGAAGTTTCCAAAAAGTGCATTTAGAGCTTTCAAATACTCCTCATTTACTGTTCCAGTAGCCCATAAATCCTTTTCAATAGCAGCTGCAGAACCATTCAAAATATTTAAGAAATGAGCTATCAACATATTTATAACAAAATTAATCTATTATACTTGATGGAAGTACAAACCAAATAAATCATCCATATTAGGAACTCCAAGATTACGTGTTTTACACATTATAAATGTCAGATAATCAAGATTCATCATTTGTAATTGACTTCGTATTTTTTAGGGGTTCTTTCAAATTTCCCCATCTTTTTGTTTACAAGCTAAGTTTGATCTGCTGTCAACTTTTACCATATTCTTAAATCGTTTTCTTCATCTTTCCAGACAACCACATCAAAGCTTATGAAATAATTCAATTTTCAATTAAATTGCTAGGCAACATATCAAGTATCAACTGAGTACTCAATTACATACAACTGAAATAAATAAGTTCACTAGATGTTACATGCCTAACAAATTTTACAATTTAGTACTCCAAATAATATATAGATTACAGATTTTACAATTTTAGTAATTATATTTATTTTTACAAAGCTAATATTTGCAATGTATTTTTTATTTTAATTTCATGGAAGGAGGGCGGAACCTCTAGCAAACCTAATTGGCTAACTCTTTCAGATATCTTATTTGATAATACAGAAAACAATGAAACAAATCCTTTCCTCACTACCACAAATTCTTTCAGTTTAGAATTATTAGAGAAAATGTAATGTCACAAGCCATATTATTTGTACTATCTAATTTTTTATCTTGAATATTTGCATATGGATACTAGTTAAAATATAATTATAAATGTGAAGCAATTGTAAATACAGAGTAAAAGCAAGAGTTTTACCCGTTATAGCTCTGACAGTCTCGCTGGAGGCGTACTCTTGGATGGTGTTGTTAGAAAAGAGAAGCTTAATAAACATTGAAGCCTGGACTGATGTATCGGTATCACTTGAACCAATCAGATCAAGTACGACTTGAACACCTCCAGCTTCTGCGACTGCTCTTTTATTTGAGCGACTATACATCACAAGATTCTGCAAAGCACATATAGCTACAACTTTCATTTCTTCTGAAGGTTGATCCTCAAGCAAATTCACCAAAGCCCGGCAAGCAGCAACAGCATCAGCAGATCGCGCTAGAGTCTCATTCTGGAATAAATCCCCAAGAGCAAGAGTTGCCAACAATCTAGCCTGTTGAGCTTGTGTTTGTGGATCCAACAGGTACTGCGATAGTGGTAGGATAGCTGATTTGGTCGCTTTGGTTTCTCTGATCTTTACGTTATTCAATAGCACTTCCAGAAGCCTTGCAGCAGTTTCCTCACACTGATGGCATCTAAGGAGTTCCAAAAGAGCCTCAATTGCACCACTTTCAGCCATTGCTACAGCACTGCTGGAATCATCACTTTCCAGGACTAGAAGAGCATTTAATGCACCAACTACAGTGCCTTCAGAGCCCGACCGAAGCAACCGTACCAACACCGCTATAGGTACTTCCAAATAAAACTCAGAACTGAACTGCAGAATACTAGAAAGGACAGCAGCAGCGGATTCCCACAATGCATGAGGAAGAGACGGATCAGCTAGCAGTATGACTTTGGACAGTTCAGCTACGCCACCCTCTTTTGCAATTTCGTTAGGCCAAGTTAGTGCAATGCTAACAAGAGCCTTTACAGCTCTTTGCTGCAAAATGGGAATACCAGAACCAAGAACACGCATTAGTGGGCCAATTACTTGCTGTGAAACARGATCTTTCTGATAATGTTCTTCCAGAAGCAGATGAGATAAAAGCTCGGCTGATAACTGTTGCACTGCTGGAGCAGGAGAATCCAGTAACGGAATGAGTGGTTCAATGGCTTGGTGAGAAGTTAAAGTATAATCAGCACGGCACTGTGGATGCTCCAAGATATTCACTAGAACCTGCAAAGCACTATGCTGCCCATCAGGTCCAAACTCTGGTTTAGTTAGCAACAAGAAGAGGGGTTCAACAACTTTTGCTGCAGATGGACCTTTCGCTATTGTAGCATTGTTCGTTAATATCCGTAGCAATTCCGCAAACGCAGCACATAGAAAATCCGGTGCTTCGTGGAGGATATCAAGTACACTCTCAATCACACCAGCTTTCACCATTTCCATCTTACAGGAAGGTCTATCTTTTCCCAACTTAACAAGAGCTCTGGAACTTGCCTCATGAAGCATATAATTTTTGCCATAGAGAAGGCCTACAAGGGGAATTATAGCACCATGTGCAGCAACTAGTTCAGCCAAATTTTCATCATCCACGAGTCTATCCAGTGCACGGACCACTGAATGCTGCGCAGAACTTAACTCAGATACGAGCAGGGAGATCAAAGGCTCGACACAGCGAGCAGCAGCAATTGTCGATCTGATTCTTGTATTTCCAAAAAGTACACAACACAACTCGGCAGCATCCCCTTTCAAGTCCATTGAACAATTTGATGAAAGAATCCTACAAAGAACATCAACTGCATTCAGCTCAACATCTGCAACAGCAAGGGCTCCTGATGGGTTATCACTGAGCAGCCTAACCAGTGCAGCAATAGCAGCATGCTGCTCCTTTTCCAAACCAGTATTTAGAACTTCCACCAAGGGTTGAACAGCTTGCCTGGCAGAATCTGCATTTCTAATGTGATCAGCACAAAATAGATTCTCCAGTGCTTTAGCAGCACTATATCTTGCACCCCTTCCACCCAACCGTAAGACCGCTATAAGCTGACTGACAGCACCAAATGCAGACTCATGTCTCCGTATTTCAGCGGTGCTAAATAGGATTCCCAGTAAATCAGTAGCAGCTTCTTCGGTGGCATCTTGGGGACCTAGTGAAAGATACTTTGTTAATGCTTCCAAAGCACCAGACTCAACCATAACAATCTTATTTGAGGGACTGTCATTTCCAAGCTGAATCAGAAGCCCAAGTGCCAGAAAAGGTGCCCCTGGACGATCTGGGATTGGCTTGAGTAGATCGACAAGAGCAGGTATTGCCTTCCTAGAAGTAGCACCAACCCTAATATCATCAACTCTGAACAACCTCTCAAGACCTACCTGCTCTGGATAGGGAACCAAAGAAAATTCTTCTGACAACTGCAAAAGATCGCTTATATCAGCATCAGCACATCCAAGCAATGAAATGAGACCGATTGCAGCCCCTGAGTTGGCAACAGACAAAAGTGTTCCCCTGCTTCCGTTGCAGACTAGACTTGCAGTAGCTTGTGCAGCAAAATACCTATTTGCCGACTCCTCTGACCTCAACAAGCTAGCAAGGGTAGGTATGGCTTTCATCGTCGTGTTTGCACGTATAATATCTCTGTCTTGAAACAAAATTGCTAGTAGTAATGCACATATCCAGATGCTGCTATCCTCATTAACATCAAACTGCATGAAAGCTATTAAGCATTAAAGGTGGAAACAGTTGAGTATAAAAATTTACAATTTGGGTTTTGCGATTTGCCAAAGATGCATTATATCATTACTAGGAATGATAGCAATAACAGGGGTCGAACTGGCTGAGACAAAAATAAGCCCATTACATAATAATTTGTCTTATGACATGCCTCAAGTTGGAGCACATAGGTTGATCATGCCCAACCTTCCAAGTATAACAGAACTAAAACTTTAGAACAGAAGACAAGCAGAACAGAAAGTTAAAATTCAAAACTCCAACAAGCTCGTGCCCTTATATAGTTTATTTAGATGATACAGAAAACCAGAGTGGGAAAAATCAACAACTGTTTGCATTAGCAGTAACTGAGGAGACAAATTGGAAACACGATTTTGAACAATAAATCATAGTATTTAGGATTTGGAAACAATATGAATTACTGAGGGAGGATTCTGAATATACACTATATAATGATGGACCCATGGGCCTGAACATATAGGTATGTGAAAACCCTAAAAAGGCAACTGCTGAGGGGGATTCCAAACATGGGACTGAACATATAAATATATGGAAACTCAATAAAATGTAAACCCTATGATATATATACATGTCTAATTATCTAACACTCGTCAAGTTGGAGCAAGGAGATCATATAGGATCTCCTTGAGGCTTCACAGACATTCCAGCAAGATGTAAAGTGGTTCTATAGATAGAGGTGTCAAGGCTGTCTAGAGTGCCAGCTGCTCAAAAGATGGTCAAAGGTCAACATATTGTCCAGACCCCCAGGTGAAAAACCAGATTTGCAAAGATGTCTACAGTGCCAGCTGATCTATGACGACCAACTTTGCGGTCCTTTGGTTGTCTATCTGAAACAGAGTTGCAACCCAGGAGACTTCAAAACATTACATATCAACGGCTAATTGCGTACCACATTATTCTGATAGGAGAACTAACAGATTGAACACCTCATTGCAATCAATGAACCACTTGGAATTCTGATGGAAGATCTGATCAACTTTGTGAATCAACAACTTCCTAAAAGAACTTTGACTAGTGAAGGATGCTGTGACCTCAGAAGTGTACCAGGATGTTTATGATGTCGGCTAGACACAGATGACAGAAGCTTTCTTGAAAGTCCAGCAGCCTCGAGATGACAACTCATCTCAATGTCAATCCAGGAAACAATCGCCAAACTTACATAACACACTACAAATAAAGGTGGCATGTGTAGTGCTAGTAGAACACAGACTATTTTTTCTTTTTCTTTTTTTAATTTTTCTTTTTTGTTGTGGGGGGGCTAGGATCTGCATCTAAAGATGTGACTAAGAAATCATAATACCATGTAGAATATGGTTCTCAATAACCAAAATGAGAAGAAAAAGACTGCAAAGCAGGCCAATGGTTGAAATTATGAAGCCATAAGAAAAATGTAGAGGTAAAAGGTTATTTGAAGTGAAATATGTATCATGTATTTCTAGCAAGCAAGTACCATCAATTGTGTTAGATTTAGTACATCTAAACTCCTTGAAGAATTTTAGATTGCTTCAAAGTCTATTACATATTGCATAACCAGCAAGACACTTGCAATAGATAACTTATGTACTCACTTTGCCCAATGATAACAAAAATGCATTAGAATGGTATAAATTATCCAAACTTATGTATTCAATGGGTCTATGCAGCAGCTAAGACTCTGATGGTATATATGCTGAAATCAGATCCAAATGTCAGAGTATTAGCGCCTTTAGTATCAACATCAAATTATTAGTATCTGAATTTAACTCATAAGAAGTTCTAAAACTGGCCTTGGAATACAAAACTTTTAAAGCAACATCCAGAAATTGGGTTGTGTAGGCAGTTTTTTTTATATAGAGGGGGGAGCCCCTCCTATCAAGAGGTGGTTGTGTAGGCAGTTTAGCCCTTGTACACTGTAACAAAGTGTTCATGTCACCAGCTACCATTCCTGGTTGGGAATGTGCTCTAAAACCATGCAGATGAGAAGTAGAATTGGAGGAAATAACAAACTGGAGAATATACCTGACCATACTGTGACAAACACTGAGAGATCCTCTCAGTCAGAATTTCTATAGCTCCAGCCTCCATAATTTCAACTTTACTTTTGTCATCATGACTAGCAAGAGCTGATAGTAGCCATATCGCGATATTAGTGCTGTATATAACAGATGTACTGGTCTCTTTTTCAGCTTCTTCAGAACCTCGGCAGATACTAATAAAATCTCTATCCTCTGTGTCTCCCAAATGAGAAGATTTTGGCAAACTTAGCATTAAGACAAGGGATTGAATAAGACGGGCATGCAATTGTAGTTCATGGAGATCCTCCACAACTCGTTGAATATTTACTTTTGTGGCACAAACAAGAAGTGCAGTTCCACCAATTTTCACTGTTTCATTTGAGGAAAGAATTACCCTACTTCCAATAGATGCAGTGCAACCAGAGATATTTGTGATGGCATTTCCTAGAACTACAGACTGTGCATGACAAAGCCTTGACAAAATTTCTATTGCCTTGTCTTGTAAGAGAGGAGTCGCGCCAGCAATGCATGAAACGATGGGGCTTATGCTATCTGGATATTCAGTTAGCACTGCCCATGCAGGTTTGATGTGCCCTGATGATCCTTTCAATCTGGATAAAATAGCAAGTGCATTTAGCGTCTCTGACATGGCAACAGATCCACAATTAGTGGATTTGATGAAAGATACCAGTGCAAGAACTGTTCCAGTGCGATTTACGTAATCTGTTAAGGCAGAATCTGTTTGACGTGAGTCAAGAAGTCGAGCAATCGCTGCTGCGGCATGGGTCCTTCCTGTCGCCTTACCTTCATGCAGAACTCTAGTAGCAGGAATAATAAATTCCTCAGGAACAGCCTTCTCTGAAACTTCAGAGTCCAACAAAAGGTTCGCTAACGCACATACAGCCTGTTCTGCAACTTGCAGAACTGAAGAGTTTGCAAGCGTCAGCAATGGAGTCATCGCATCCCTAGCAACAACCGCAACATCACGGTTCTCTCTTATAGATAAAAATATTGCAGCAAGGCATCCAGATGACTCTGCCAGTATGCACTCAGATTCAGAATTTAGGAGCTTCATCACAGACCAAAGAGTCTTAACAGCGATGCTGCTTTCGCGCAAGTCCTTTCGCGCATTAAAAATTCCAGCAAGAGCCAACGCGGACTTGGCGCGAGTCTCTTCTTTTGTAGAGCTTAAAATCTTAATAATCGTCTCAATTGCATCATTCGAAGCACTACCTTCACGCAATAAATCTGTAAGTGGGGCTGCAGACAGCAGACTTTTTAAAGCATCTAAAACATAAACCTTTGATTCAGGAAGATCACTGGTTAGCAATGCAGTAAGTTGACTTATTGTTGCCGTGTCTGATTTGTGAATTAAGTGGTTTAAAGTCTTTGCCGCAATCTCTTTCCCGTTTGAGCTTCCATTCTTCAGCAGCCACAACAAGGCGGGAACAGCATCAGCACTCTCAACACATTCTCGTATATCTTCACTGTGATTACAGAGGTTACCAAGAATTGTTGCAGAATCTTCCTTGGCTTTTGCAGATCCAGTCTCAAGAATTTGAACAAGTGGGGGTATGCCACCAGCAGCGGTGATGGCCCATTTGCTTTCATCATTCTCATTAGACAGAAGGCAAAGCAATGCAACAGCACACTCCTGTTGCTGCTCTGATGAGAGCCCAAGAAGAGAAATCAACATCTGAATTCCCTCACGACCCTGAAGAGCATGCCACAAACTACCTTCATTGTTGCAAAGAATAAGTAGGGATCTTATCAACTCATCCTGAACTTCATTGGTTGCCATTGTGATCAAACCAACCAACAAACGTTTTGAATCAGAATTAGCAAGTTTGCTTGAGAGTGTAGTATTTCCATACAAACTTGCAAGAGCTTCTATAGTGCGTTCCTGAACTAGAAATGGCAAACGAGGCTTAAACTGCTTAACTAGTGTCAACTCAACATCCAGGGGATCCGATGCTTTACTAGTTTCTGCTTTGCTGTCATATATCATAAGAGCAGAGGCCAAAGCTCCTAATGTATCAGCTATCTGTGCAGGTGAAGTGCATGATTCAAGGCTTTGACCAAGGCTTGAGATGACATAGGACAAGCCTCCAGAGATATTTGCAAGAGCGCACATTGCATTTTCCTGTAGAGCTTGGGCATGCTCACCTTGCATAAATTCCTTTGAAGGAGCTATTGTAGCATTGATAAGAGAAGGAATACCATTAGAACTGGCAATCTCTCTCCTTGCTTCTTTGCACTGAGCTGAAAGAGATTTTAGAGCTGCTGCTGCTTGTGCTCTCACTGGAGCTTCATTACCAGGCCCTAACAGCTTTAGTAGTAGTTTTGTAGCCTCAGCATCCACTATCCTCGAACAAACAGATGCATCCTCCATCATCATGCAAGCCAGTAGAAAGCAAACATTTGCTTGGGTACTAGATTGCTCAGCTGTAAGTAGCTTTACAAGTATATCTTCTCCTCCAGCTTGGATTGTTGCAGACCAAAACCCTTCGGTGCTGCTGCAAAGATTTCTTAAAGCACCAGTCAACAAATCATCAACTAAATGTCCACCCTTGAGCCCCTTTTGTAGTTGCTCCCACAACACTGGCACAACCCCTTCAGTGGAAAAGATTTTGGAGCCAACATGATCTTTGGCTCCACCTTGAGAAACAGCATATATGGTCTTTGCAGCTGCAATTCTCCCTTCCACTGAACTCGACTTAAGAAGACCGAGAAGGGGAGGAATGCAACCCCCAAGCAATACTTTGACCCGTAGTTCATTCTCCTTGCATAATGAGCCCAAAACCGTAGCTGCTTGCAACTTTACTCCAAGTGACCCTGATCGTAGAAGAGACACCAATACTGGAACTGCCTGAGAATGAGAACCAACAGCACTAAATGCATTTCCACGTGTATCTATCAGCTCTAGTAACTGCCTCAAGTTAAACTCTTTGTCTTGTGCAGATAATGAATTTTGCCGCAACTGCTCGATGCATTGGGCAACGCTTGCTAATGTCCCATCGGGATCCTCCATGTTATTGCCCCCTCTGCAGTCACGAAATAGAACACTCAACATATATACAGCTGGAGTATCATGACCCAAATTTTTAAGATAACAACACATCTTGAAATATATTGTATGCCCATCTACAGCAGATGCAAATAATATGGCATACAAAGATCAACTCTACAAGTAATTTCAAGAACAAAGCAGCTGGAAAAATCACAAGCAAAGTCCAATTATGAAAGGATGCATCAATGAAGTTACATTGAAAAGAAAGGCTACTCATCTATTAGCTAAAGCTTGGCAATTACATAAGAATTTCATAATCTTCCATGAAAAACACATTCAACACAAAAAAGAAATAACATAATGGATGAGACATCCAAAAAGAGAAGCAGAATAATACATCAGCAATGAAATTCTGCATTCGCAAATATTCAAACCATTTTCATGGTGTACGGCCAATATCTCATTTGTTGATCATTATATATCAAGAGGTGCACACCAATACCTCAATAGAAAACGATGGCCAGCACTGAACCTTACAAATTCCGCATCCTTTATCAGAACTAGTTTATGAAGTGTGTGCAAAAGATGACCACACAAAAAAGCAGCAACAGACTTCCGAAATTTAGAGAGAGAGAGAGAGATGAATAGAAGTATTGGTCTGCATGATTGCAACAAGCACAATGGTACAAATTCTCATTACAGAAATTGTGGTTTGCAATAGAAAGTTGGGAAGTCTTAAGTTCTATCATTCTCTGTTACCCAAAAAGCATTTTTTCTATCAGAAAACAGATTAGTGAGAGTTAATAGCCTACCTAACTTTATGAAATTTAAATCTTGCAAGTCACCATTCATATTCTTCATTACTTATGATATTATGATTGCCACTTGTACTAGCAAATTTGGCCATCTAAATATACACTTGACCAAACAACCTTGATCAATGAGCATGACAAATTGACAATATGGATGGAACTTCAAGTAAACTCCAGATAAAGAGGCCCAAATGAATCTTGCATATGCATGACTAAACACTTGTAAAAGGACACACCATTTCGGTCATCCATACAAGATGTAGATATTTTTTCTGGAAAGAGAGGATACATATTTGCAACAAATAACTGGTTCCAGTTTACAAATAACCAAAGAGATAACTAGCAACAAATTACCTAACAAATTGCATGAAGTAATTAAACTGACCTTGAACTCATCTTTATAAGGGAGTGCGGAGTTATAGGTTCTGTGTCATGAGGTCTAATATCCCCACTCCTTTCCTGCATTTGTGAAGGAATAATAAAATTATCAATATTTGTAAGATATAGCAAATTAACATTAAAATTTTTCTGTAGGGCCCAATCACTGCGATGAATAACAAACTATCATGATATTTCTTTACTTAATTTCCCAAAGCCCAGCATTTTGTCTTCCCCTTGAAAAGACACAGATGTTAGCTACTTTAATCTGTTGAAATATTGTCCAGCCTTCCAAGAATCCATAAGTTTTATAACTGTTACATGGCAAAACCATTATGGTACTTTATTAATTTACTGTCAGCAGTCCATTAAGAAATGAAGAACAAGAACCTCCCATTTGAGGGAATGAAACACTTGATGCAGGCAGGCTGGAAGGCTATGGACTATAAAATAAGGCGTGCAAAGTTCAAGGGGTGACCTAGTGCACCAAGATCTGGTTTCCAAGGATTGGGAAGGAAGTGTTTGTATACAGCCTTGCCTTGCATTTTGCAAAGAAGCTATTTCCATGACCCAAACATATGGCCCTTGTCATAAATAAAAATCCTAGCCAACTGCTATGGCTGTCCCAGACTAAAGAATCATAGTAACTGTCACAAAATTCATAATCCGGGGTCATAACAAAGTAAAATTTTATATCGTGCAGAGACACCTGAAGCAATTTAGCAGCTTCTATGGTGACAGTTAAGTGTCAATCTTCGTACTCGATCAGTTGAACATTATCCAAGTCTAACGGAATAGCAGAAGGAACGAGAGGTAACATACAGTAGAGAACAAGCGGTGTTCTCAAGATACGACTTATTTGTTCTTCTCTTTTAATCTGCTTTCTTTTACAAAAAAAAATGTAGAGAAGGTACACTAGAGAGGATTCCTTACAGTTACATTAGCCCCCCTCCCCCAGCGGCATGTGGCACATCCAATCAGAACAAAGTCCAATTTATATAGCATTCATATAGGCAACAATTACAATCTTCCTCTATTGCACATGCAAATTAGAAAACAAAGTAGAGTTCACGTGGCAGTCTCATGAGGTGTAAGATCCACATAAAATACAAGTGAATGCAATTGAACCATTTATCCTGTCTTGTTCCCAACCATTGTGACAAAATCCAGCTATAATTTATATTAGCAAACCGGCAATGACAGAACCAGCAACCCAAACTTCGAGCATTGAAGGATAGATTGACAATACGTACTCATATTATTAGTATAAAGTACACGACGTCAAGTAAATGATTGATTAAGAGGAGTAAACACCAGATCATTAGTGGCAAGACTGCTGCCATTGCTGCTGGAAGAATACGCCCAACCTACAGTCGCCGCCATCTTTACTGTAACAATTCGGCTCTTACTTCAAAGCAGATCTACCTCCAACTCCGAATCCCAGTCAAAAATTAAAATTTCAATAGCTGCCTGCAGAAATCATCCAAAAGAAACTCGTTAATTCCATCACAAATTTACCTAATTGAACCTTTAACTTCAAAATTCATCAGGCTCCAATAAAACCAAAGTACAATTCTTACGATATGCTAAACAATAACACTAGATCAACTATCGTTTCCGAACTTCAAATACAATTCGCTAAACAAAGAAGTAGATCAAGTATCGTCACCATAATTCAAAAACCATTTGGTTATCAAATTCAGTCAGTACAAGTCAACAAATTTGTAACAATTGAAATGCAAGAACAAGATCCAAGAATTACTGTAGAATCAAGAACAGCAAAATGAATGCAAAGAATGTGGAGGGAAAGATTGATGACTAATTAGTTCTAACCACTGTGGGGCGATCGAGGGAAATAGATCTGCTGCTTCTTTTCTCAACGCATTTGATGGATTTCGTAGTAGAGAAGTGAAGAGGAAGAGAGGTGATGTGAGAGAGAGAGAGAGATTAGGAAGAGTCGAAGGGTGGTGTGAGAGTATATCACAGAAAGGTTGTGTGGGATACCACCAGCCACCGACAGTTCACATCAAGTTGCTGATGTGCTTAACCCAAAACGTTGTCTGGTGGTAACAATGCTTCCTATTCCTTGTCATATCAAAAATAAAATTAAGTTCTTAAATGATTTGGTATAAAATAATTAAGTGGTTATAATGATTAAGAGATTATTATGGTATATGGTAAAATAAAATATAATTGTTTACAATGAAATTAAGGCGCTCAATGTTGAAGGGATGTCCATGATACAAAATCATTCAAAAGGTTTTAGAATCATTAAGAGTCAGACTTTTTTTGTTAAACATGATTCACCTCTTAACGATTCAAATGTTGTCTCTTAATGAAACTATTAAGAGATAAACAAACAATCCCTAAAAGGTGATATCTTTATAATTACAAACCTAAATTGAATCTGATTTTTTTTGTCTTTTAGCTAGATTGTCTCCAAATGGGGGAGATACCACTTGCACAGTTGCACTTGCAAAGGTAATAATATTTGGGTAAATCGTAAAAATGAATGGTTAGGAGACCAATTCACAAGGTTCATATTGTGAAACAAATATATGTTATTCGATGTTTTAAATCGTTAGTTTTAGATAATAAAAAAACATATAAAATCAAGGTTATCGCAATCATTTGTTAATCAAGTAAATAGTATTAACTTTGTTAATCTATCAGAATCTTTCATTTTCTTCTGATCAAAAGTTGTGTTAAATGTGAGGTTATAATCTATACTATATTATAAAGCATTTGACAGAACTCTTAAAAATCATTTTTTAAGCATGAAGTACTGTTTATTGATGCATATTACAAGTAAATTGTGCGTAAGTACAACTTATTAAAGTTTCATGTTTGAATTCGTGTAACTAATTGCAGATAAACATAATCAAATAGAGGATAAATATCTCATTTTAAATATAAAAAAATCTAAAATATAATTAGAATAATAATTGAGTTTTAACAAACTAATTAATTATTATTTTTATAAAAAATTTATATTATTAAACAAAAAATAAAAAAATGAGTTAAAAAAATTGTTGGTCCCAAAAGGGTCTACAAGAATA